TCTAAAATGGCCGCCACAACCAAGCACCTGCTGGCTGCTTGGCTTGGCCCTTAAAGTGGCAGGCACAACCAGTGCCCTGCCACAGCTATGAACCTGAGTAATAAGGGGAGGCAAAATCCCATTAATAATAAGTGTTCTAGGTCATATTGTCTGCCCACCACTGTCACTTCTGCCTTATCTGAATTCAGTTTCAGTTGGTTCATCTGCATCCAGTCCCTAACTGCAGCCGAGAAATGGGAAAGGACAGAGGCTGCAGGGCCAGGGTCAAAAGAGAAGTATTGCTGGGGATCATCAGCATACTCATTCAAATCTCTGCACAATCTTTCCCAGTGGCCTCATATACATATTAAACAGGAGGGGCAACAAGATGGAGCCCTGGGGGACTCCACTGGAAAGGTCCTAAGGGAATGATGAACACTTACCCATCACCACCCTCTGAGATCTCCCTGCTAGGAAAGAGTAGAGTCAATTTAGAGTTGGCTGCAAATACCCACCAGGTAAAGTAAATGCTTTAACATAATCTCACGGTCAATTGTATCAAAGGTCACAACGATGAAGTAAGATCCATGGGGCACAGTTTTCCTGCCAATCTCCAGGTGAAAATCATTGACCAATGCCATGAGAGCAGTGTCTGCATTATATACAAGATGAAAGTCAGACTGACAAGGGTTCAGGAGCTGATGGCATATTGATGTGCCTGGACTTGTCAAACAAGTACCCATTCAATGACCTTCTCCAAATAGGGGAGGTTGAAGACAGAGTAATAAATGGATGGGGAATCAGAATCAAGTGATGACTTCTTGAAAAGGGGCCGGACAATTGAAAACTTATGAGTATTTGTTAGTCTGCCCTCCCAAAAGGAGACGCTGATATAACCCCCACAAAGTAATGGCCCTAGTCTCCCCCAGCTAGCTTTTCCAAGCCAGGATGGGCACAGGCCCAGTTAACAGCTGGTCACCTTTATCCCTCCACTGAAAGACAATTTGCAGATGCAATGCCATGAATCAAAGATTCTTTGCTGCTGCTACTGCCAAGCCTTAGTCCAGGGGTTCTCAAGCTTTGTGATACCGTGACCTCGAGTGCTGAATGGCAGTAGCAGGGAATTG